TATTTTCATTATGTCTATCTTTTAGCAACATCAATTTTACTTTTAATTTCTCAACGATCTCAGCCTAAAATAATGGAAGGAAAAAAAGTGTCAAGATTTGTACACTTGAGATATCAGAATGTAAGCACACGTGGATACAACGCGTGAAGCCCATTTCTGTTATTCCCCGCCGTTGTATAAGACTGCAAAAATATACATACTCACTCACCCTTAGTGTAAGCATATGGTGTACAACACAGGTGGTACAGCCCTGAGGCATACAAATTTGATAAAACCTAAAATATATTGAGAAGTATTAAAATGATACAATATACAGACCACTTATAGGGTATGGCTATAATTATACAAAATGACAGCCAAACTCCGAAGAAGAATTGCAATTATATTAAATAAAAGTAATGACGCCTGTTTAAACCTTAAAGTCTTCGCATGAAAATCACAAAATTTATGTTCGTTGGGACAAATTAAGTCAAAAGTTGCAGCTTATTATCGGTAAATAACCCCAAAATACGAAACTCTGTCAAATTTAGCTCGCCAAAACGGTTTAGTAAACCTTTGGTCGTCGTTAGGTACGTCATATCATAGGAACCAAATCAGTACTCAGTATATTGTCTTTAGTCATAATTTCCGGAAAATTTCAAAACAACACTTTTTCTACCTCACTAATGTTCAACAAAGAAACGCGTTTCTTCATCTAAAGGTGAAGACGTCACTTAAAAAGAGCAACCCGTGAAAATCCGGATGAGAATTGATATTCAGCAACCCATGCTTAGAGTAAGAGGCGACTAATGGGATTGGTTGACACATGCCATCGTATCGATGCTCATGCTGTTGATCACTGGATTGTCTGGTTCAGACTCGATTATTTACAGACCGCCACCACATAGCTGGAATATTGCATCAAACAACAACCAAACAGATTAACACGATGTTTCAGATTTACTTTTCAGGGGGAATAAAGAAGTAGTAAGAAGTAACTCCAAAATATACCAGTCTACGAAAAGCAAGATGTATGGATGTCAACTTCTTTTTGGTGGATAACACGACGTTTCGGAGCGTATGCTCGTTCCTTCATCAGGCTCCTTCGGAGTGTTAGTCACAATAAAGAAGCTGACATCCATAAATCTTGCTTTTCTTATGCATTCCACTTCTAAATGCCCTTCAAAGATATACTAGTTTAAATTCCAAATATCTTTGACTTATGTTCATCACATCTAACTGTCCTTCAAAGAACCCAACTAACTGTTCTTGCATTTGAAATATCACATATCTTCAGTATGTGATGGCTATGGCCTTGAAACGAAATAAACGTTGTTGTTGTAGTCACAATGACAGATAAATAATGTTTTGTTTAGTCTTTAGCCTAAGTGACAGCTTTACTAAGCACGTTATGTCACCCTCGTTATTACTCTAATCATTGTTAATCTTCAACAACTGCCTGAATCAACATTTGTAATTGGCTACTCGTGACTGACACCTACGTTCATCTACTCCGCAAAAGAGCCTGTATCATCTGATTGGTCCAAACCCACAGTGACACGTGGGCGCTTTGTCTCATTGGTTGAGCATACATCAGACAGTGCAGATGGTAGGTCAGACACGTTAAGTGACGCCATAGTGAAACATGAGTTTCTCAGTATACATGTATATAAACAAACTTAGCTTATTTGTCACTCAACGTGTCTTGAATACAGTGTTAAAACAACAGCACCACCAGTAGCTGTCGGTGGCATCTTCATCTGTGAGAAGTATTTTACGAACCGAGCAGTCGTATGTTTTTTCGTATAAAAGACACTTCTTCATTTTAATTCATCACTGTTCATCACTGGGCATTCACGTGGCTTGTCGTCCGTAGAGCAACTGGATACAACAGTGTACATAGGAAAATCTGCTCCGAAATGGAATGTGCAGCAACGACGCCTGCAAAGAAATCTATTCTGGGTGCTGTCAGGGAAGATTGTCTTGTTGAAGTCGACTCTTCTTTTCCCGTTGTCAGTGAAAACCAAGTATGTCATCATGATACCACCAGTGCCCTTGACAGGCTTCGTTCACACCTTGCAGCAATGAGGACCACGAACTATGGTGCTGCCTGTAGTCCAAGACGAAGGGAGAGGATAGAGCGAAGATTGATGTTAACTCTGGAAACTGAGAGAGGGAGAAGAAGAAATACGAAAACATAAGATCGTAACTACCGCTGTCAACGATTCAGGACTTGAAAGAGGACATCAAGAATTATCTTTCAGACGGTTCAGTCCTCGCAGAGTGACGTTCCAAGGAATGAAGCGGCGATCCCACAAGCATCAATTGCTGAAGTCATTATCGTCGACGCCCCGACGACAGAGTGCAATGTTTAACCTTTTGTCAAGTGATCTACTGTGCTTAAAAGCCATTGACTAACAGTCAGTGGATAAAACAATTTATGGGATGACCTTGCAATACTTCATTTAACTTGTTTGTGAACAAAGCAGTTGTTATGTTTGTTGTTGCAATAAATGTTATGATTTGATTTTATCTGACATGTTTTATCAATATGCATGCGTATGTCCACATTTCTGAACCCAAACTTCCAGAAATAGATAATACGGTATAATGTCCAACAGAACATGCATGTGTATGAGATATTGGTTAGGCTGAAATAGAATCCCAATATTTTTTTATCTAAGCACATCCAGAGTGTGCAGAGTGCCTCTCTTAGAACAGAAAGAAAGTTTGAACTACGATATCATGACCAACACCTTAGTAAAATGTGCCACCTGATCACTGGGAATTCTTACATCAAAGGGGGCGGTGGGGTAGCCTAGTGGTCAAAGCGTTGGCTCGTCACGCCGAAGACCCGGGTTCGAATCCCCACATGGGTACAATGTGTGAAGCCCATTTCTGGTGTCCCCCGCCATGATGTTGCTGGAATATTGCTAAAAGCGGCGTAAAACCAAACTCAGTAAGTCAGTCTTACATCAAAGGTCAAGGCACAAGTTGTGGAATGGCATTGAATGTGTATACCAATGTTTGTCCTTATCTGACCCGCCAAAATCTAAAAATGCCACTCAAAGAGAAGACTTTCTCCCCTCCCCTCACACACACACACTTCTCTCTCTCTCGCTCTCTCTTTCTGTGTGTGCACAAGTGCGTTCGTGAATCAGTGGAATGAAACTATGGCGTAAGCAGGTTATTTTCATGTAGAGTCAATCATATTTCTTGAAGAATATTAATTTATAATTTCCTTGAGAATATTATTCAATTTTACAAATATCATTCAGAACAAGGAGGGAAAAGTCCCATTCCCACCCATTCTGACCATTACATTCATTTCAACTCTAACCACCCCCCTAAAACCAAGTCTGGTGTCATCTCAACCCTGACCAGGCGCGCCAAGGAGATTTGCTCCAGCAGCGATGACCTCGACCATGAACCTAACCACATACAACGTGTCTTCACCAACCTCAACCAGTATCCCACCAACCTAGTCAAGAGGACCATCTCCATCACGCTACAGGACAAACCCAAAATGACGAAGCATGAAGCCGCCCCCATTAGAATCACCCTTCCTTATATTGGCAAGACATCCCACCAAATCAGCAGACTTCTCAAGCACCAAGCAGGTATCGACACCATCTTCTCTGGCTCTCCAACCCTCAGGACCATTCTCAAGGCCAATGGCTGTAATGTACCCTCCACTAAGCAACCCCCCCAAAGGAGTGATTTGCAAGATTAACTCTGAATGTGGTGATTCTTATATAGGTGAAACCTCCCGTCCCGTTGACGCCCGCATAAGAGAACATAAAACCTCTACAGCTACGGCAGACAGAAAATCGGCCCTCTCAGATCACCAGCTAAAGTTCCCTACCCATCAAATCAAGTTTGACGAATTCGAAGTCCTATCAACCAATAATCAGGACTTCACAAAAAGAAAACTGTTGGAAGCCATCGAAATCCGCCGCCACAAACCTTTAATCAACCGTGACCAAGGATACTACATCCCATCAGCCTATGAAGAACTAATCAAGCTATAGACCATCAATAGCACCCTGTCTTTTTGTTGTTACTACTTAATCCCCCTGTTTATCGGCTTCATTACTAGTGCCATTTGTTGTTTTTAGTTCCCTACTGGCCTCTTCCAATTATGTACCACTTGTTATGTATATTACATGCTGTTGTTAATGTTAATCTGCTGCTTGTCACAACATACCATGTATATATGCTCCTCGCCATTTGGTTGTACACACTTTTAGCTTGATAACGATGTAAGAATCTACATCGAAACGTCGCTCAACGCAAATAAACCAGAAGTTGTCATCCATTAAGTTGTATGTTTCATTTGTTGACTCACCAACTTCTAGAATGCCGATCAAACAAAAAGAAGAAGCGATATTTCAGCCATATCATGGTCGGTGACATAAAATTGCGTTTTGTATCAATGTTAGGAATTGAGCGGTTTTATTGTCCGACTAACCACAGCTTTAACCACCACAAGGTTACTATACTCACTGAGTCTACAGGTAGACAGTAACATAATATTCTGCATTTACTAGGTCTCATTTTCCGTAGTGTTCGCAAATCCAATAAGAATGAGTCATACGTGTATATGGCAGTCACAGCTGTCAGACACATGCAACATTTGTTATTAACAGTTACACTTTATCAAAAACGTATGTTCTTTTTGTATTTATTTATTTAATTCTTTAAAAATATATATTTTATTTTAATTTACTTTTATTTATTTACTTTTTTTATTATTATTATTTATTTTACTAGTATTTGGTTTGTTTGTTTTGTTTTGTTTGGGGGTGGGGGTGGGGTGTGTAAGAGGGAATAGGCGTTTTCCTCCTCGAAGGTTCTAAGGTTTTTATTTTCTCAACTTCCACCAACGGTGGTACATGAGTGAACTGGAAAAAACATTATATACACATATACACCAAGATGGCATCGGAGAGATATAATTGAGGCAGGATAATGTACAATACAATATACATGTACATACATATTCATATATACAAGGGTGTCATTAGAGAATGATACAAACATTTAATTACATGTATTTATATCTAAACTTCTATTGATACATTTAATAAATTTTGACAAGTCTTTAACATATTTAGCTTTCTTTGAACAAAGTAATCTTTTGAGTGTATAAAGGTTGGGCCAGGTATTGACATACTGAGGTATGTACAGCTGCCGCTGTTGGTGAAGAGTTTGGCACCTGAAAGATAGTGAAACTCATCACCGACAGCGGGTGAGTTACATAATTTACATAAACGATCATTTCTTGGAGTATTTGTCCACCGGCCAGTTTCAACAGGTAGATAATGGTTACTAGTTCTAAATTTAAGAATAGGCATGTAAATTGATTTTGGCATATAAAGGTACGGTTCAAAAGATAAATCCTGTTTATAATATTTGTAATAAAATCCCTTGGAACTTTGTTCGACGGAACTTCTCCAATTTTGTAAATTTTGGTCCTTGAGTATCTGTTCTACTGTTGAGGCTAGCCACGTGGTGGTGCAAGTGGAAGGGTTTTCATATATTTCGTTTAACCCGCAATCATTAAGAATTTTTTTAACAAATGAAAACCATCTCAGTCGATCTAACATATCTGGGACATTAACTTGGATATAATTGTACAGTTTACTGGAGATTTTCAAAGTACTGGTACAAGTAGCGATCTTATGCCAAAAGGTTATTACTCGTTTGTATATTTTGATAAATATTGGCTCTCTACCAAATTCACCATAGAGAGCAAAGTTTGGAGTTGAGTTTCTTAAGGACGAAATTAGTTTAAGGAATTTAAGGTGTAGTCTTTCAATAGTCAGTAAGTTTTCGAATCCCCAAATTTCGGATCCATATATCATAATAGGTACGATCATAGTGTCAAAAGCTGTTAAAATACAATCTAGTGGTAAAGTTATATTCCGGGCTTTTTTCAGTAAAGCATACATGGCTTTTGTTGCACTCTCAACTAGTGATTTGATTGTAATTATATATCTACCATTCCTATGAAGTTTAATTCAAAGATAATTGTACACGTCGACTATTTCTATGTTTTGGTTTTGATACACGAATATATTTTTGGATTTGGTCGCAGGTCCGCTACCAAAAATGAGCACTTTTGTTTTTGCGAGATTTACTTGTAATTTCCATGTGGAACAATATTGCTGAAATGTATCTAATGATTTTTGCAATTCAACTTGGTCTTCACTAAAAAAGAACAGCATCATCAGCGTATAATAATATTATCAGTTTTAGCAGAGACAATGTATCTATATCTTCATTACATTGGAGATCAACACCTTTACAGTTGTTTGCATGTAGAAAACTTTCTATGTCGTTTATGAATATAGAGAACAATAATGGCGATAAATTTTCTCCCCTGTCTAACACCGGAGTAACACTGAAATGTATTTGATATATTATTGTCAAGCATAACGGCGGACTTGATGTCATGATACATGTTCTTTATTAGATTTAGAAATTTTCCATTTATTCCGTTTCTGACCATCTTATGCCACAGGCCAATACGCCAAACAGTGTCAAACGCCTTTGTAAAATCGATGAAGACACAGTATAACTTCTTTTTGTATAAATTTAATAGTTCTGTAAGTATATGTATGACAAAGAGATTGTCTGATACCGAAAAACCTTTCCTGAATCCGGCCTGGGCAGGACTTAGAATATCGTTAATACATGTATTAAGAAAATTGGCTAATCTGTTATTCTGAATAGACGTGAACAACTTTCCGAAACATGACAATATTGTAATTGGGCGGTACGAATTCGGATCCATGGTGTTTCCTTTACCTTTGTACAACGGTTTTATCATGCCTTTAAGCCACCTTTCTGGAACAGAGCCAGAATTAAGAATCAAATTAAAAAGTTTCAGAAACGATGGGAGAAGATATTGTAAGGCATCTATAAGATAGTCATTCTCAACGAGATCGACACCTGAGGATTTATTGCGCTTCAAGTTATTGACGGCAGTGACAATTTCTTCCTCTGTTATATTCCTATTCAAAATTTCAGTGTCATAAAGCTCATCGTTCAATTGCGGGTCTTCATTTATTACTTCAGCACAGTAATTTTCATTAATGGATTTATAAAACTCGTAAAACGTATCGAGATCGGGGGTAGTGTCAGATGACTTATTCCGATTATTCAATAACTTCCAGTACTCTTTAGGTGAATATCTCCTGGTGTCTCTAAATTTCCTATTCATATCCCCTTCATATAATTTCATATGTTTATTCAGACACATTTTGTAGGATTTAGATATTAGTTGCAAGTTTGATCGATTTGCAGATGTTTTGTATTTATTGTATTTCTTCTTAGCCTTGTGGAATTCTCATGATTTTACACTCATTATTGAACCATGGTTTATTCTGCTTCGGTTTTATCTGTGTTTGTTTCTTGTCACGGCGACTTTGCACTCCGAATGTATCACGAACAGCCTGTGCGAGCACGTGCGCGATGTCTGAGGCAAAGTTGTTAATTTCATCAGCGCAAGCGTTAACTGAGTAATCCTGTTGATTGAGATATTCTAGTTTTTTTTATGTCCAAGTTATTACAGAAATCACCAGATTTGCTAATATCATAACGCTTTGGTCTCGTAGGCATTGTGTTATTATGTGTTTGATCTTTCGTATAATGAGCTTGTTCATCTATTACGGGATTACCACCTGCAGACGACAGCGTGAAATGAAGCGGACAATGAACATCTGAATATAGAGGTGAGAAGTCGAGTATTTCAAACTGTTTCAAAAGTGATAAACACTTCGGCGATGATATCACATAATCAACAGCGGACTTATTTTTACATGTTGTTTTGCCTACATGTTTGTCTTTTTCAAATCTGCCATTACATATAAACAAATTCAGATTCTTGCATATTTCTAGCAATCTAGAGCCAAACTTATTTGATATGATGTTCTAATAATAGGCAGATTAAGGGAATCTAAAATAATCTCTGGTTTCACTTCACAATTCATATTGTCTACGTCTATATCAAACTCCTCCACGATGTGTTCATCAATAATGACATAATCACTTAAGTTCTTGGTTCTCGCATTAAAGTCTCCGATAATTTTAATAAAGTCACTTATTGAAAAGTAATGCAGAATTGAGTGTTCTAATTCGATAAAAGCATCGTCATTGACGTATTTAGACCCTTCGGGCGGTAGATATACAATACCCATATACATATCTTGGTCAATATTGAATAAATCTTTTGAAATCTTTACCCGCAAAATGTAATTATTACTATTTTCGTCGTCTAAAATGGATATATATTTTTCATATTGATTTTTATAAGCAACCCCGATACCACCTGATTTCCTTGAACAATTATTTCTATGTTTGAGGTATACTTTAAAACCATCTATTTCTATATCATCCAAATTATCAGTTTTGGTTTCCTGCAGTCCTACGATGTCATAATGTTCTAACATTTCAATAAAGTCTGGATAATGTGTTCTTTTCCTTCATCCACATACATTCAAACTTCAGAAACTAATTTCAGTTCTATTATTTGTATCATCATCATCATCATCGTCGTCGTCGTCGTCGTCATCGTTATCATCACCATCGACCTCAACAGTATCAGCGTTAACAACATCATCATCAAAGACGTCATCATCATTAACAACATCATAATTACTAGCATCACCAAGAACAACATTATCATTAAGAGCATCTGGCGTGATGATATTATCAAACATTATTTTAGTAACGCCAGTGAAATTTTCAGTGGTTTTGCTATAGGACCTGGATGTAATACCTTGGTCTTCACTCACTGAACTGGATGAAGGACATCGAGTGTTTACATCTACGTCAGTCCGTACCACATCATATGCCTCAGCAACAACTACATAAAAAATAAGACCCTCATCATTTATACTGGTCAATACATTATTTTGTTCTTTAGCTCTAAGTTTTGTCTTATCACAATCATGAATAGTTTTAGAAACGACAACCTCAGCTGCAACATCATTATTACCATGATCATTGTTAGCATTTTGTACAAAGTTCAGGATAATATCATCCTTGTCAACTACTTGCTCAATTTCATGACAAACATTATACAAGTCAGATTCAACAGATTGGTCTATATCACAATCTTTAGTAACAGCAACACAGGTTCTTATATTATCATACAACATGATATTACTGGTTTCAACATTTTTAACAGAATTCAAACCAAGATCACTCTTATTAACAAATTGATCAACCTCATGACAAACATTATACAAATCAGGTCTATATCACACGTGTTGGAAATAGCAACACAACTTTCTATATTTTCATCCAATGTGATATTACTGGTTTCATCGGAATGAAGAGAATTATTCAAGTGGATATGTTTATCAACAGTATTTGTATGTCTTGGATTCAGATTATGATTTGTGATATAATGATGCTTTGGGAAAATTTTCATCTATAGAGTGAAGGTCAACATCAACATCTACCACAAATTCTTTTTATGACAGTGTATATCAAATTGTGTAAGAACGTTGTTAGTTGGGCTGTAAGATGATAGTTTAGAGGTATGCACTTCATCTGCAGGCTTTACTTGTTTAGTCAGAATAAGATCATCTTTACAATCAAAGGGTATACAGAATGATTTAGATCTGTAATAATGATTATCAGCGTCATATGAGTTTACTTGTCTGTAATCAGATTGATGCCTTGTTTGGAAGTCAGGGTCAGCGTTCGAGTGGCTTACATCAGTACCACTGGTACACCCCTACCTCTGGTGTAGCGCTGTTGTCAGTCTGGGTCTGGTATAGGCTCCTGTCTGGAGGACCCTGTAAGGAGGGTGAGTAGGCACAGTTGAAAGAGAGTTATTCACATACAGTCTATCTACAACAATGTGAGCTCTGTGCCCTTTGCTCCTAGCTTCCCTCTGTAAAGGAAACAACACATCTCTCCTGTATTCACTTATCTCATCGGGAAACTATTCCAGTATTCTCTCCTTCCTCCCCTTCAGTTCTCTCCCAGCTCTCTTCACTGTGTCTCTCTCTGAGGTGATGTTGAACTTGGCGATGATGGTGATGCCCTGTCTTCTCTGTCCAATCCTGTGAATTCTCTTGAAGTGAATATTATCAGATTCAACTTTCAGATCATCCTTTATAAACTTTCTTAAGATATGTTCTGTAGTAACAGTCTCTGATTCAACCTCAGGGATATCAGTAAATATGAGATTGTCCCTCATAGAACGGCACCTCTGATCTAACACATACTCTTTTATTTGCATACTTTCCTTTCGTAGATTCATCACCTCCCTAGGTAACGTACACAATTGCTCTTTCATGTTCTCAATGTCAGATAGGATTAAGTTTTTATCAGTGGACCAATCATCAAATTTACTGCCTCATGAATTCAATGCTTGATTCAATGGAGCTAACTTTCCCTTTAAGTGAGTCAAGCTCAGCTACTTTAATTTCTAGCCTGGCTACCTGGGTCTGTATATCTGACACAGATTTCTCAATGGAGTCTAACTTTGACAATTTGTTATTGATCTCACAGAGAGTATCAAAATGTTCGGGTCAGTTGCTTGATGTTGTTGTTGACTAAAGTAGTTCTGACCTGGGTTGTTGTGTGGGAGCGGTGAGCTCATGAGCTGTGGCGGACCGTACACGGACATCATGGCCTCCCTCACAGCAGCTCCGATGTCAACAACAGGTGACGTGGCTGAGTTAGTAGTACTCTCTGGGTGTCTGGTAGCTTCTTCCTCTTCGCAGACTGATCGCCAGACTTGGCTTTCTTCTTATCACTCATTTTCTATGAGCAATTACAGCGCTGGAGTTAAAATCTCAGCAATTTTAGTAAAAGGGTCGGACACGATTCAAAACACGCCCACACATAAAGATTCAGCCTTTGGCCCCCTGAAGTGGACTGAAGTCGATGAAGGAACTAATTGTAATGAATGTTTCTCTCCATACTATTAGTTGATTCAGCAATGTGATCCACTGTTGATATATCCTTCCTTAATATATTCCAAACATCCTTTGAAATGTCGTTTCTTTCTGTTCTAAGAGAGGCACTCTGCACGCTCTGGATGTGCTTAGATAAAAAAATATTGGGATTCTATTCCAGCCTAACTAATATCTCATACACATGCATGTTCTGTTGGACATTATACCGTATTATCTATTTCTGGAAGTTTGGGTTCAGAAATGTGGACATACGCATGCATATTGAAAAACATGTCAGATAAAATCAAATCATAACATTTATTGCAACAACAAACATAACAACTGCTTTGTTCACAAACAAGTTAAATGAAGTATTGCAAGGTCATCCCATAAATTGTTTTATCCACTGACTGTTAGTCAATGGCTTTAAGCACAGCAGATCACTTGACAAAAGGTTAAACATTGCACTCTGTCGTCGGGGCGTCGACGATAATGACTTCAGCAATTGATGCTTGTGGGCTCGCCGCTTCATTCCTTGGAACGTCACTCTGCGAGGACTGAACCGTCTGAAGATAATTCTTGATGTCCTCTTTCAAGTCCTGAATCGTTGACAGCGGTAGTTACGATCTTATGTTTTCGTATTTCTTCTTCTCCTCTCTCAGTTTCCAGAGTTAACATCAATCTTCGCTCTATCCTCTCCCTTCGTCTTGGACTACAGGCAGCACCATAGTTCGTTGGTCCTCATTGCTGCAAGGTGTGAACGAAGCCTGTCAAAGGGCACTGGTGGTATCATGATGACATACTTGGTTTTCGCTGACAACGGGAAAAGAAGAGTCGACTTCAACAAGACAATCTTCCCTGACAGCACCCAGAATAGATTTCTTTGCAGGCGTCGTTGCTGCACATTCCATTTCGAGCAGATTTTCCTATGTACAGTGTTGTATCCAGTTGCTCTACGGACGACAAGCCACGTGAATGCCCAGAACAGTGATGAATTAAAATGAAGAAGGGACTTTTATACGAAAAACATACGACTGCTCGGTTCGTAAAATACTTCTCACAGATGAAGATGCCACCGACAGCTACTGGTGGTGCTGTTGCTTTAACACTGTATTCAAGACACGTTGAGTGACAAATAAGCTAAGTTTGTTTTATATATACTGAGAAACTCATGTTTCACTATGGCGTCACTTAACGTGTCTGACCTACCATCTGCACTGTCTGATGTATGCTCAACCAATGAGACAAAGCGCCCACGTGTCACTGTGGGTTTGGACCAATCCGATGATACAGGCTCTTTTGCGGAGTAGATGAACGTAGGTGTCAGTCACGGCTAGCCAATTACAAATGTTGATTCAGGCAGTTGTTGAAGATTAACAATGATTAGAGTAATAACGAGGGTGACATAACGTGCTTAGTAAAGCTGTCACTTAGGCTAAAGACTAATTTATCTGACATTTTTATCAATATGCATGCGTATGTCCACATTTCTGAACCCAAACTTCCAGAAATAGATAATACGGTATAATGTCCAACAGAACATGCATGTGTATGAGATATTGGTTAGGCTGAAATAGAATCCCAATATTTTTTTTATCTAAGCACATCCAGAGCGTGCAGAGTGCCTCTCTTAGAACAGAAAGAAAGTTTGAACTACGATATCATGACCAACACCTTAGTAAAATGTGCCACCCTGATCACTGCAAATTCTTACATCAAAGGGGCGGTAGAAGGTAGCCTAGTGGTCAAAGAGTTGGCTCGTCACGCCGAAGACCCGGGTTCGAATCCCCACATGGGTACAATGTGTGAAGCCCATTTCTGGTGTCCCCGCCATGATGTTGCTGGAATATTGCTAAAAGCGGCGTAAAACCAAACTCAGTAAGTCAGTCTTACATCAAAGTCAAGGCACAAGTTGTGGAATGGCATTGAATGTATACCAATGTTTGTCCTTATCTGACCCGCCAAAATCTAAAAATGCCACTCAAAGAGAAGACTTTCTCCCCTCCCCTCACACACACACACTTCTCTCTCTCTCGCTCTCTCTTTTTGTGTGTGCACAAGTGCGTTCGTGAATCAGTGGAATGAAACTATGGCGTAAGCAGGTTATTTTCATGTAGAGTCAATCATATTTCTTGAAGAATATTAATTTATAATTTCCTTGAGAATATTATTCAATTTTACAAATATCATTCAGAACAAGCAAGGGAAAAGTCCCATTCCCACCCATTCTGACCATTACATTCATTTCAACTCTAACCACCCCCCTAAAACCAAGTCTGGTGTCATCTCAACCCTGACCAGGCGCGCCAAGGAGATTTGCTCCAGCAGCGATGACCTCGACCATGAACCTAACCACATACAACGTGTCTTCACCAACCTCAACCAGTATCCCACCAACCTAGTCAAGAGGACCATCTCCATCACGCTACAGGACAAACCCAAAATGACGAAGCATGAAGCCGCCCCCATTAGAATCACCCTTCCTTATATTGGCAAGACATCCCACCAAATCAGCAGACTTCTCAAGCACCAAGCAGGTATCGACACCATCTTCTCTGGCTCTCCAACCCTCAGGACCATTCTCAAGGCCAATGGCTGTAATGTACCCTCCACTAAGCAACCCCCCAAAGGAGTGATTTGCAAGATTAACTCTGAATGTGGTGATTCTTATATAGGTGAAACCTCCCGTCCGTTGACGCCCGCATAAGAGAACATAAAACCTCTACAGCTACGGCAGACAGAAAATCGGCCCTCTCAGATCACCAGCTAAAGTTCCCTACCCATCAAATCAAGTTTGACGAATTCGAAGTCCTATCAACCAATAATCAGGACTTCACAAAAGAAAACTGTTGGAAGCCATCGAAATCCGCCGCCACAAACCTTTAATCAACCGTGACCAAAGGATACTACATCCCATCAGCCTATGAAGAACTAATCAAGCTATAGACCATCAATAGCACCCTGTCTTTTTGTTGTTACTACTTAATCCCCCTGTTTATCGGCTTCATTACTAGTGCCATTTGTTGTTTTTAGTTCCCTACTGGCCTCTTCCAATTATGTACCACTTGTTATGTATATTACATGCTGTTGTTAATGTTAATCTGCTGCTTGTCACAACATACCATGTATATATGCTCCTCGCCATTTGGTTGTACACACTTTTAGCTTGATAACGATGTAAGAATCTACATCGAAACGTCGCTCAACGCAAATAAACCAGAAGTTGTCATCCATTAAGTTGTATGTTTCATTTGTTGACTCACCAACTTCTAGAATGCCGATCAAACAAAAAGAAGAAGCGATATTTCAGCCATATCATGGTCGGTGACATAAAATTGCGTTTTGTATCAATGTTAGGAATTGAGCGGTTTTATTGTCCGACTAACCACAGCTTTAACCACCACAAGGTTACTATACTCACTGAGTCTACAGGTAGACAGTAACATAATATTCTGCATTTACTAGGTCTCATTTTCCGTAGTGTTCGCAAATCCAATAAGAATGGAGTCATACGTGTATATGGCAGTCACAGCTGTCAGACACATGCAACATTTGTTATTAACAGTTACACTTTATCAAAACGTATGTTCTTTTTTGTATTTATTTATTTAATTCTTTAAAAATATATATTTTATTTTAATTTACTTTTATTTATTTACTTTTTTTATTATTATTATTTATTTTACTAGTATTTGGTTTGTTTGTTTTGTTTTGTTTTGTTTGGGGGTGGGGGGTGTGTAAGGGGAATAGGCGTTTTCCTCCTTGTTCTAAATAATGTTTGTACAATTTAATAGTATTCTCAAGGAAATTATAAATTAATATTCTTCCAGAAATATGATAGACTCTACATGAAAATAACCTGCTTACGCCATAGTTTCATTCCACTGATTCACGAACGCACTT